TATTATTATAATACACACAATCTTGTTAGCAAATAGTAATGCCCTCAATATACAAAGGTTTTCCAAATTTGTGAATAGTGCATTGCATAAAACATTGTCCGTGTGTTTCTATGTGCTTCTGCTTATATTATTTTACTGACAGGGTGTTTAGTTATTTATTACATGTATTTATTTACAGCATTTATTATTCATTAAACTTCTGAATTGAAGGGCAGTGAAGAAATGAGAGAAGTTTCTCAACAAACGTCAGCAGCAACAGAGGATGGCCAGGTAATGGGCCCATCCTGAGAAGCAGACTGAGAATCATCAAACAGGCACTGCAATGGGAGAGGAACCAGGAGGTCCAACAGAAATCCTAATATGGATGAAAGAGGCCAAAGGTGATAGAATGAATTCCATCAATGATAATGAACAAATTCCACAGGGCAGAACATAAATGGAACAAGCCCTATGTGACGTACTCCATCACAATAGGTAGATGACGATTATTCATAAAATCAGCAGCCCCGACTTAGGGATTCTGCATGTAGTTTCATAATTCTGACATTCCATGGTTCAAAGTCAGCTGCAGGTAATTTGGCAACAGACTGCTATACACTGATTTTGACAATGGTATGAGTGTCCAACTCTTGAAAAAGCAATGGCAAACTATTAAACAGAAAATTGCCTGAGAAAACCATAAGTAGCAATCAAATGTTGGTGTTAGTTTGTGATGTTCTGTAAAGTGCTATCATTCCTAAAGCCTTCTACTTCAAGCTTGGTGATAAAGTAAAAAGAGCATGTGTGTTCACAATTTGCACAGAAAACTGGACTTCAATAATACAACATGAAAAAGGAATAAGCAAGTAAAAAAAAGTAAAGGACCTTTTCCCACGCCTTTAGGCATATAGGGTATATAGAGCTAGACCTATATTTTTATAGACCAATCGGCACAAGATGGGTGATGTGGTCAGCATCACGCCGGCCGCCTTTACTTTCCCAGGATTGCACCCAATACCCACTCAATGCTGGGTTGGCCTGGGAGCCAAGGTCATTTTTGAAAAAGGTCCGGCTCCGCCAGGGAGCGAACCCATGACCTTCAAAATTGCTCGGCCATGGCAGCTCCCCAAAAGCAATAAGAGTGTAGGATGAAATTGTGTCAGTCGGTGGAGATCACCCGGAGAAGACATCAAATATTCAGCCTACACAGAGATCATTTATTTGCGTAGACAGGAAAGGCTACCATTGTTTGCAACATCAAGGTCCTGTTCTCAAATCTGCATCAGGTGCATTGTTTGAAAAAAGAGCTTGCTCCGAGTTCGACAGAGCCTCCAGGGAGTGTCCTAGGAAGTAAAGGCAGGTTAAAATGGTGTTGATATCTCAAATGGAGTGCCGATGTCTATACAAATATGGGTTCTATCACCACACACCTGATGGGTTGGGGTTGTGAGAAGGGTCCCTTATGTCTACTTTTTTGTAATTTAAAAAAAAAAAGGTTTTTTCATCCCTTCTGGCACCTCTGACCTCTCATCAAAATTCATCATAGGTTTCTTTTGGATGTTTTCACTTCCTCAGTCAAATTCTTCCCCTTTTAAGTTCCAGGCAGGTTCTGCAGCCCCATTCTGGAGGAAATTTACAGAATAGGTCCACTGTTTCTTAATGAACATGCCACAAAAAAGCTAATTCAGAGTTTGCCTAGCTGCAAACTACAACATAATTCTGTCCCCATTTTAAAATCAAATGAAAAAGAAGTAGTATCTGTCAAGGTTTTAATCCAAGTAAATTCTGGTCCCTAAAAGTGGACTTCCAGGGGTCGGCTGTATGAACTCACCCAGAGTCAATGAATGTTGATAATGCTAAGAGCAACAGAGAAGATATACAGAAAATACTACAAGTGTTAAATAAACGGCTTATGTACACTTAACACATGTGCCTGGAATTCCTTGTGCAGACGCTGCTGGCGAAGTGGTAAAACAACAATCTGTCTACATGGCAGAGACCTCCAGGGTTCGATCACTGGAAGATTTGTGTGCTTCCTCCTCAAAACACTGTGGTCAGGTGAGCAGCTCATCATACATAGCTCACCGATGGCTCTGGATCAACAAAGTATTTTCCTGGAAGGAAGAAAGAACAAGGAAGAAAAAAAAAAGTTAGTTATGAATGCCAGCATTCTACAATTCTGAGGTTCCTTACGGTTCAATCAACTAAGTCTGTGCTAACTGTTGCAGTTTCTATTAGACGTCATTTTCTTCAATCCATTTGTTTCCCATTTTAAGTGCCTCTTTGGTGATTATCCGTTTACTTTTCTTTAGGATTTTCTTCTTCTTCACTTCCTGACGTACTAGTCTCTAATCAACAACAACAAAAAGAGAATAATTAAATCAATCAGAAAGCCACTAAAACCGGCACAAGACGATTATCATTTTATGGACAGACCAGAGCAAGTTATTATTCTACACTTAAGAACAGGACACAATCGACTTTGAAGCCACATGTAAACAACATTTTTTATCGGCTAATCAGACATGTGCACATGTGGATTGACACCTGAGACAACCGATCATGTCCTCCAAGACTGACCCAAATACAAAATATAAAAGCAAAACTTTTGGCCAAGAGAAACCTCGGTGCAAGTCAAACTTTACGGGTCGCTGAGTGAATTACAAAAGACAGTGAAGTTCACAATAGAGACAAAATTGCAGATAAAGATAATCGATTTCAAGCGAACGAAAGAAGAAGACTTCCTCTTTAATCTTCTTGGGTACTGATAGAGAGATAAGGTTTTGTATAGAGTTTCTGTGGAGAGATATAAGGTTTTGTTTAGAGTTTCTGTGGAGAGATATAAGGTTTTGTATAGTTTCTGTGGAAAGATATATGGTTCTCCAAAGACTTTCTGTGGAGAGATATAAGGTTTTGTATAGAGTTTCTGTGGAGAAATATAAGGTTTTGTATAGTTTCTGTGGAGAGATATAAGGTTTTGTATAGAGTTTATGTGGAGAGATATAAGGTTTTGTATAGAGTTTCTGTGGAGAGATATAAAGTTTTGTATAGAGTTTCTGTGGAGAGATATAAGGTTCTCTAAAGAGTTTCTGTGGAGAGATATAAGGTTCTCTATAAAGTTTCTAGTTAAGATCGTCAGCCAGACAGACAGATATTGTTCGTCCATTGAAATACATGACGGCAAATTGAATTATAAAGTAAGTAATGTCTAAATAAATACTAAAATTGATACCAATCTTTATATACTATACGATATACAGTAACTTATATGTAAAAGGTCTAAAATTAAGCAATGCACATCGTACTTGGCTGCACCAAAGACACATCATGTACAGCAATGAGTTACCAACTAGATCTTCTAGATATAAACAGCAGGTTTGAAAGGCGCCAAGCGTTTGTCTATCTCAAAATCACTTAAGTCTGTACACATCCACTGCATGATGAACTGAATACACGTAAAGGCAACAGACTTAAACGAGGACAGTCTTGGTTGGGCCGTGCAGAGACAATACTTCAACAGGGGATTTCCCTTCAAGACAGAAATCATTAGAGGAATGGATACCCATAACAAATAAATACAAACAGCTCTTTGTGGTGGTTAACAGTCTGACAAGACAATGCCATGATTTGGGGCCATCCATTGTTGATGCGGAAGTGAAAGCATTGGTAGAGGAACACACATCATCCGAAGATGCTCTCTTCCCCCCCCCCCCCCCCCACACCAAGAGAGAGAGAGAGAGAGAGAGAGAGAGAGAGAGAGAGAGAGAGAGAGAGAGAGAGAGAGAGAGAGAGAGAGAGAGAGAGAGAGAGAGAGAGAGAGAGAGAGAGAGAGAGAGAGAGAGAGAGAGAGAGAGAACGAACGAACGAACAAACTTTATTTTCAAAGGGTCACAAATTGAGTACGCAGGCCCGTCTTACATTCGGCCCTTCCAGTCAACCATCTTTCGCACAGCAGGGGGAGAGGGAGAGAGGTGGTTCTGTAATTCGCCAGAAGAGAAGTGCATGGGCTTTCACGATAAGACCTAAAGGAAAAGTCATCAAAGAAGACAGTGGAGACTTTGCTTCTAACACCAGCAGCATAACAATGGAGTTCATGGCTGTGAAAAATTGGCTAGAATGACTGAAAACTCAGGAAGTCACCACTGCAGGCTTTCTCAGCCCCTCAATGAGCATGCTACAGAAGATCAAGGCGGGGTACATTGGGAAACAGTGGCTATATCTGATACAGCACGCAGTGTTTCACAAAATCACCCTAATTTTTGTCCCACGTCATGCTGTGTGAAAGGCTATGAGAAAGCAGACAACCTGGCTGGCAGTGCGACTATCAGGAATGGGCCATCTTTGGACAGGAGAGACATCATCAATGCTATTCGAGGAACTTAACAATGTGAGGCTTTCAGCTGTGTGGAAAATGATTTTTCCAACAGACTGCATACCCTGGGCATAACAACTGGAGCTGCTAGACATGAAAATGGGGGTGCCTAGTTTACCAAGTTTCTTAGTGCACTTGTATTCATGGCGAGGCGCAGACGCCATCTGGAGGTGACAGGTTCAATTCCTGGCAGGGTAACTATAGCTTTCAATTTTTATGTTGTCTAGTGTGTTCTACTATCTTTCTACTTCTTTCTATGAGTGCCGATCAATACACTTTCTGTTACTTGATTAATTCATAATATTTAGACATGAAAACCATATAGAAGCCACCACCCGTCGTTACATCAGCCAGAACAAAATGGAAGTTATTAGCCTAAAACACTAGGAGACATAATCAGGAGGAGATCGGAGCACTTATGGTCATGTCCCATGAGGGAATAAAGATGATCTGAAATGAACAATGAGCGTATATGTTTAAATAAGATATAGATATAAAATAAAATTTAGACACCTCCAGAAGAAAAGCTCTAACATATCTTTTAGTGTAAGACCTGGTCTTATTTAGGGGGAAATGGTAACTGTAATCACAAAACTACACGCAGCCTAACTGAGACAAGCCTCATGCTAACAGAGTCATGAACAATTACCTGTAGCAAAGCGCTTCTTTAACAGCGATATTCTATAACCGGAGCCAGTCAGCTCAAACTCAGCTCCTGAAAGTGTGGCACCTTCACCAGCAAACTGCATGGCTGTAGTGGCCGGCTTGGAGGGGCCTTTGTTGAGCTCAAACTTGGCTCTGATACAGCCTTGTGATTCTTGCTCACTGACCTCGGAGATATCGCTCAGTTTCCAAGTAGCTCGCTTTGTGACCGGATCCCTAGTCGGGAGAAAATTCAAATAAAACAATTTAGGATGACTATGTGGGTAACCATTAGTATCAACAGGTCAAAGACAGAGGAGATGGCACTATACTGGACACATAGTTCAGAGAAGAGGTAAACAGAGATATACTAAACAAGCATTGAAATGGGAAACAGAGAGACTGAGAAAATGAGGATGCCTAAGAAAACCCTATAAAGCTAATGCTGATGAGAGGAGCTCAAGGATTCCATATGTGATCCCAAAGTGACAGCACAGAATAGAACGTAATGCAGAAATAAACTGTGAGCGACTTTGTGACATATAACTGGACAACAGGACAAGGAACAGGAGCTCTGTGGACCAGTGGCTAGCATACTTGCATTGCCTGTCAATCCTGTGGTGACATGTTTGAATCTTCACTGAGCTGAGATTTTGCATTGACCTGGCTCCCAGATGAACCCAGGCTAAAATGGTTATCTTAAAAATGTTCTAAGTAGTAAAGGTGGCTGGCAGGATGGCCAAGTGACACTGCAGAAGGGCTGGAACTACAGCTGTCCTAGTAAACAGCAGCAGTAACAAACGGCACTCAGAACTCGACGATTGATGGGCTGAAAATTTAAGGCTTAACACACAACAAAATGGCTGTGTCATCTGTTTCCTGTCACTATTCGTTGTCTAGGTAACAATGTAGACAGTTTCCTGTCACTATTCGTTGTCTAGGTAACAATGTAGACAGCTTTAGCAATTATCAAACAGCAGTAATATTTATTCACACTTCAAAATGCTCTTCATAGACAACTTCAGCAAGCTCAGGTTCTCGTTGAACCTCACCCACTGAGTGCTGACTGACATAACAACAAATAAGGAGACTGGTACCATATACCCATAAAGCCTTAAAGCACGGAGAAGGCATTTACAGTTTATGTATTTTACCCAGCAGATGTGGTGTAGCAGAGACATTAGCCTTGAGCAGGAGGCAGTGGAGCACAGAGGTTTGATAACAAATAATAATATTCCCAGTGTGGGTTGCAGGGTTCTATTTTGTGACGGGGAATAACAGACTCACTGCTTCCCTAACATGCATGTCGCACAAGGTGACGAATTAGGGAATTTTCCTTTGAAGTTAGAGTGCATCTACCTGAGAGGTGAGGAGCTTCCAGTCTGTATACAGATAAGCCAGATCTGTCAAATGGATGTGCACAAAATACCCAAGTCCTGGAACAAGACTGAAGTCCAGACGTGAAAAAACGACCAGAACTTTCTGCCAGAGTTTACAGCCAGTCAATGCTAAGAAAAGCAGGGGGGAAAAAACCAATACAAGCACTCTGATCTCTATGAAAATCAGCACTTACAGAGAAGATCGTAGAGTCATGACTACCAGTATCTACTACAGACCAAGCACTGGAGAATTTCAATAAGGGTTGAAGCTGAAGTGTCCAAATACTTCTTCTAATAAGCCACCTGTTCTGTCAGCAGGACCCACAAGGACAGCAAGAAATGACACCAGCCAGCAAGAAATAGTAACACTGTAGATATTAGTTAGTTAGTTAGTTATTCCTCTTGTGCCAAAGATGGCGCATAGGGCAGAGGTCATAGCTTTCCACGTCTGTCGGTTCGTTGCCACTTGATGTAGGTCTTGAGTGCGACTGAGACCTATGGTTGAGCTCTCCCTTGTGATGGTTCTACGGAGAGTTTCTTTTGGTCTTCCCTGTTTTCTTTTACCCTCTGGTGACCATATGAAGGCTTGGTGGGGAAGTCTCTGTATGTCCATTCTGAGTACGTGACCGATGTAATTCCAGCGACGCATTCTAATAAAATCAGACACATATTTTTGTTTTGTTTCCTGTCTTATAGATGTATTGGACCTAAAGTCCGACCAGTAAACATTCAATAGCTTTCGGAGGCATCTATTCTCGAAAGCGACTAGTTTCTTATCGATTGATACTGATGATTTCCAACTCTCACAACCATAAGATAGCACTGGGATCACACAGGAATTGAAGACCTTAAGTTTCGTGTTGTTGCTGAGTGATCTTGACTTCCAAATGTTTGACAGTTTGTTAAAGGCACTTGATGTTAACGCGATTCGAGTCGTTATTTCTGATGTTGTATCTCCCGCAGAGGTTATCTTGCTCCCTAAGTATGTGAAGCTGGTGATTTTTTCAAGAACAATATCCTTTAGTTTGATGTCTTTCGACTCGTTGGTAAGATCGATGATTTTCGTTTTGGCTGCGTTGACCTGAAGGCCGATTTGGCTTGAAATATTCTGGAGGCGGTCCATTTTTTCCTGAGCTTCTAGATGTGTTGTGCTCAGGAGTGCTAGGTCGTCAGCAAAGTCAAGATCTTCGAGAACTTTGTCGACCCATTTGATGCCTAAATGTGTGTCCTGTGTGCATTTGCGCATGACCCAATCGAGTGCTATTCCGAAAAGCATCGGTGACAAGACACATCCTTGTTTCACGCCTGTTTCTACTGGGAACCAATCAGAGTTACCAGATTCCGTTCTAACAAGGCAGCGGGAATCGGTGTAGAAGGCCTTTATAATATTGACATATTTATCTTGGAAACCATAGATTGTGAGTAGCTTCCAGAGTGTAGGGCGGTGTATGCTGTCAAAAGCCTTCTGAAAATCAACAAAGTTGATGATGAGTTGGGATTGAAACTCTACTGACTCTTCTACGATGTAGAATATCACAGTCTACATAAGTGCCTGATGGCAGGTGCTAAGCCATGGATATGATTTGTCTTCTTCTATCTAATAATCCCATATATAGTCGTCATTGTGTGCTTAAGGTCTCCTGAGCCTCCTCTCCCTAAACTGTATGAATGCAGACAGATTATACTCACTGCACATGGAACCATAAATGCTCACATCCCTTCCTCTACACATCCTTCAGTATGAAGCAACTGAGGGAGCTAGTTCCATTCATTTTCTATCATTTAGCCCTTATTTTTTAGCCCGGTTCAGTGAGTTCTTTTCATTGCACTGGTAAGACGTCAATAGGCTGCATCTGGATATGTAAGTTAGGTAATTTTGTGTATTTGTGTTGTTTTATTTGATTTATGTATGTGCTGATGAAGGCTCTATAGCCGCAACATTCATGTTTTGTGTTTTTTTATGTTGTGAAGCTCGCTGATATACTTTTCGTTCTGTTTTATTTCGACCTTGTTTATTTGGTAAAGTTATCAGTAAGGACTACAAAGGATTTGCCGTGCTTACAGAAGCTCAGGTTTATTTTGTAAGGTTATCAATCAGGACTACACAGGATTTGCTGTGCTTAAAGAAGCTCAGGTTTATTGTGTAAGGTTATCAAATTAGGGTCGGCTCTGTGGCTAAGTTGATGCGAAGCTTCATAATGCCGGGGTGCCAGGTTCAATCCCACCTGCGGGCCATGCGCCTTGCATTGGTTTCCACAGTGGTATCAGGGGGCCAACCGTCCAGAAACCAATGGCAAACGACTGGACGTAAATTTGCCTATAGAAACCACACAACAGCCAGGGGCTGCTGGGGTTGGTTCTGCAATGTCCTGTAAAGGATACGCAACTAACCTATATCAAATTAGGACAGTGCGTATCTACTTCTTCACTGCTCACTTTCAACTGTACCATATGGATTTTTCCTTTAAAGAATTCCAGCAAGTTATATGATCAAAAACAAAATTTATCAATGTTCACAAGTGAGACAGGCAATTTTTCAGTCTGCACAATTCCTGTTTCAGAGTAAAAACATGTCTGTAATGCTCTATCCCCCGTGTATGTTCCAGGGTCCCAAACAGGAAAACAGAACTGACCCACTCATCTTCAACGAGCATGTCCTAAAAGGCAACTAATGAGGAATTTTTCTGAAATTATATGTGTTGGACAGAAAGGCCCAAATATCACAGCCTAGCTGGTAAACAATAACACAATTTGCTAATCGCCCTTGTTGAATGCTGAATTAAGAATCAACATCACAGCACTCAGGACACTCCCATAAGTGCTCAGTCCCTATCTTCAGCAGAAGCAAAGAGTTTCAATTCCGATGGTACCAGTAGCTGTCTGATTGTATATCTGCCTGATCTTTCCCCTGAGTGGTGAGCGTCGGCCAGATCCCCTGGTACCTATTCGGCCATTCTCCTCAGACCGCAATGATCCATCTGCGCCTCTGCACTGTTCACCCATTCCCAAAGGGCCCTCACAATATCTAACTTGTCATAAATCAATTCACCACCAAATGGTGCAGAGCCAGCCAGTCTATCTGCCTGCTCATTTCCTAAAACATGGGCATAACCTGCAGAAAATATCCAAAGGTGTTTTTTTTAAGGATGACAAAAGAAAGAAGATTTTTAACTGTAACATGAGTTCAAACTTTCTTGTGAACCAACAGGATCTAAGTATTTGTTTCAAATGAAAACTCACCAGTTGCCACTAGGGATGCTCTGCATCTTGCTGACATCTCCATCCACTTGTACTACAGCAGTCACATTTTTCAAAGTAACTGCAGACGACATGGCAGACGGATTGTATCGGTAGTCAAGTCGATAGTCTGTGATATTTTCATCGCATTTCCAATATGTCACCAGGGGAAGTGGGGTCATGTCCACACCTGGCAGACTTTTCACCTAAGGAAAGAAAATATTTTCAAACACTTCTGTAAACAGCAACAAATTTCATGTGAGAAATCCAAAGTAATTTTAAGAAAGAATAAAGATGAATGACAGAGGAATCAAGAATTATCACAGAAAAATTAAAACCAAGCTACAAAGCACAATAGAAAGAGCATATAGATATTATCATCATCATGTAGCAGGTCCTTTGCAGAACGTCGCTCGGTCTCTTGCAGTTCTCCCGCCTCATGTACTTTCATACTCAAGGAGTCACTTATATCCTGTGCCCATCTTCGTGTTGGTCGGCCCCTGCCCCTCCTTCCTGGTACCATGCCTTCTGCTATAATTTTTTTCTAATCCGTAATGTGCTTGATATGACCAAATTATTTCAGCTTCCGAGACAGGATGCTGTTTATTAGCCAGTCTTCCTTGATATTCAGATCTTTCAAGATGTCAGTATTTCTCATCTTCTTTGTCCAAGATATTCTGAGAATCTTTCTATACAATATATATATATATATATATATATATATATATATATATATATATATATATATATATATATATATATATATATATATATATATATATATATATATATATATATATATATATATATATATATATATATACATACACACACACACACACACACACATATATATATATATATATATATATATATATATATATATATATATATATATATATATATATATATATATATATATATATATATATATATATATATATATACATACACAAACACACACACACACATATATATATATATATATATATATATATATATATATATATATATATATATATATATATATATATATATATATATATATATATATATATATATATATATATATATATATACTAGCTGTACCCGGCCACGCGTTGCTGTGGTGTAATTTGAGATAGTCTTTGATCCCCCCCCACAACTAAATCCACCTAGTACCTCTCCCTCATCAAAGGTTTTTAGAAAAGAAAGACAATGGAAATCGCACCTGTCTAATGAAGTTAATGACGCAGTCAATGTCTGCGCCGACGTCGAGATAGTCCTTGATTCACCCCCCCCCCCCACCCCCCCCCCCCCCCATCGAAGGTTGTTTGGAAAAAAAAAACAGAAAATAGAAATCGTGTTTAATATGGTTATTGTGGCAAATATAGAGATAGTCTTGTTTGCTGTACCACGACCTACTCTATGTATTAGTATTAGAGAAGGCGTTGGCTGCACGTAACTCGCCGGCGAATGGTAAATACGGCGCATGCGCAATTACTAACGTGGCTATAATTAGAAATCACTAAAGTTATAAATATTAGTTGCGTATATTTTGGCATTAATTGTGGTCAACTATCCCTAACAGTGAGAGGTTGAATTTCAAACCACGACGGTTCAAAATCCGGTATCACAACAAACATATCCTGAAAATTTCAGCTAAATCGGTTCAGTATTTTCCGAGTCTATAGAGATCAAACAAACACACAAACATTGATTTTTATATATATATATATATATATATATACCTGCCAGTTTTTACACTATCAGCAATTTTCTTTTTTTTTTTTTTTTTTTAAATTATGAAAAATCTGCTTTTCCTGCTATTAAAATATTGCATTCATCAAATTATCCAGTGCTTTATCACTCAGAAACAACGCTCCAGTCACATAACTTTGGACTAAATTGGTTTATCGCTGTCGCTTCCATAAATCTCAATAATCTCGGGTTGGTTGAAGTGTAAATAATCCTAAATGCATCTTCCTTGTTTACAGTGTGCCTAGAATTCATAATATGGGATGCAATGGATGATTTTTTTTTTGCCAGCCACCTGATTCGTTGTTTCTGAGTTGTTAGTGTTGTGCACTCCTTTAACAACCCATAGTGGAATATGTTCAGCAACCCATTTCTCCAGTTGTTGATCAGTTCTGCCCACATTTGCAACATTACAGGTGCATTTAAAATAGTAAATACAATTAGATTTGGCATACATCGACACTGGTTCTTTCATTGGTGGCGAAGGCATTACAGCAGTTTTAAATCTGATAACAGGCATGGCTGTTTTGAAACGCTGCATAATGTCATCACCTTGAAAAGTTAGATGGACTTTTTTGGCACTGACATTTATATGGTAATTTGTTTGGGCGGTAGGCAAAGACGCTTAATAAAACCATGTAGATATCCATTAAAAAAGCAATGTATGTTTAAGCACTTTCAAATTCTGTTCGTAGCATGTCGCTGGAACAAATCTTTCTAGCGCGGTTGAATATTATCAGCACTGAGCCATGCTTGTATTGCATGGGTACAAAACTGTTAAAATGGATGTACTGGCCTGTCCAAGTGTCTTTACAATAAACTGACTTTCAATAGTGCCATCCTCTCTATGTCTAATTAAAATGTCTTGATTTGATTTGATTCAAGAACCGACATCACAGCACTCGGGGCATTCCCATAAGGGCTCTGCCCCCATCTTCAGCAGCTAGCAAAGAGTTCCGATACTAATAAAGCCAGTAGGATTCTAATTCTTAAATGTCTTTAAAAAATACCAAGGTGTTGCTACTTTTTTGTTGTAGGGACACTGCAATGTTCTGTATTTGGTTCATTTTGGTGAGAAATGACTCTGCCTGATGCTTGTTATTGGCGATGATAAGTATATCATCCACACAATGTCGGTAAAACACCAAACTATCAATATCAACGGACATCTTTTCCTCTAAGCGTGCCATGAAGATGTCAGCTAGAATAGGGCCCAGAGGTTTTCCGTGGTCACGCAGTCAATCTGGCGATAAGGCTTCTTCCTCTTCTTCAGCATTCTGAGATCCCGAGGTTCATTGCTGCAGATATCACCTGCCTCCATTCAACTCTCTGGTTGGCCCTCTCTTTCCAGTTGGTGATACCAAGTGTTTGCAGGTCTGGACATTATCTCTCCATCATCTTCTTGGTCTGCCTCGTGGTCTATGACCATTCATCTCCCTTGTGTATAAATTTAACGCTTCTCTGTTGGTGGTAAGGCTGTTTAAGAAAATTGAAGTTGATGCTAGATGTGCACAACAGTAAAAGTTCCCTAAGTTCTGAAGTGGGTAAACCCAAATGCAGTTTTCTTTCTATACAATCATTTATAATGCTACATCCATTGATGCCATGTATTTTTTTTTATTTACATTCAAAGGAATTTCTGAGTATTCTGGGCTTAAACGATACCACACTGGTTCTAGCCAGTTAGCCAAAGGATGTTGAGCTGAATTTCTCATTGACAGTATGGGCCTAAGGGGCATTCTAGGTTTGTGTACTTTTGGAGACCATATAGCTGTGGTATTTGTGAGCCGCACTGAGTAAGCATCTTAGCAGTAGCTTTGCTGATAAATTATCCTTCCAAGAGTGATTTAATTTCTTTCTTCATTTTCACTTCCATGTTGTCTGCTTTATTTACTTTGGAATCAAGCACCTGATGTGATACCTGTTATGCACCTGGGCAGATAACAGCAAAATATGCCAGGCAATAAAATGTTCAATCTATTGTTTGTGGTTTCTTTGTTCAAATTCACAACAGGGAAACATTGCTTTGACTTGTAAATTTGTAAGTGTATTTATGGTGTTATTTAAATAGTCTGAGAGGTTTCCCCAATGACAGACATACCTGATACTTTAGAATATCAATGTTGAAGTAAGAAGCTGCTTTATTCTGTTCCCCTTGCTGCCTTAGATGTTCTATCAGGTTGGCCATATTAAACTCATAGGCATGGACATCGGGAGTACTTTGTGCTTCATTTCTGAAACAGTCAAGGGTTTTATCTGGTGGCAATAAGTTCATTATTATCATCAACAACATGTTAACATTCAGTTAAGATAGTTTCAAAAACATTGGCAAAATTCCTTTACTAAGTTTCTATGTCAAATTTGATACCAACTAGATGGACAAGAACAACAATTCTTCTTCTTCAGCTTTTAATTTCCTAGTGGAGCACATGTTTGTAGGTGTTTGGTCAAGACGGGTTAAGATTTTTAACCAAGGTTTTGTATACAATGAGGTAATCAAGTAAAGTAATTGCAGTTCCAACAACACAGCACACAGGTCACCTCATAGTGACTAATTTGGAGATTGCGTGAAAAGGGTCTTTCATTTTACTTTACTTTTATTTTTGTGATAAGGATATTTTTTTAATGGTTTTTAAAAAAAACATCCAACATGCTTGATTTTTTTTAGGACACCGTGCAAAAAAACAAAAAACATCTCACCCAGTCGGGACTACAGATGTACTTCGTAACTTCCAGATACCCTATAATATAAGTGTAATATAATATGTGAACTGGGTTTCTGTGATCAGTGTCTCTTTGAGTCACCAGGTGTTAAATATTTTAGTATGCAATCCTAGAGGGAAGTTAATTAAAAAAAAAAACAACAACAATAAAGCAGAAAGGTAAAATCCTCACTTGGTGAGCATGGAGGAGTTGGCAATGATTTCCTCTAACTTGTTTGTATTCTTGATACAAAATGAAAGCAAAACTGGAGATGGATTTTCTGTAAACACCCGGACCACGCCAGCAGGGAATGACATCATCACATTTCCAAGTGTGCGCACCACACATCTAAATATGGCAATGACAAAGACTGTTAAAACAACACATTATATTCTCCATATATTCAATCATGGCATCTCTACTGTAAGCAGTATATATGTGGATGTAACCAAAACAAAATACTTCTTATTCTGTGCTATGGTTTATTGCTAGGTTGCGATATCTTTGTCTTTCAGCCCAACACATGGAGTTTCAATAGATGCTTAATCAGTCGCTCTTTAAGGACATGTTTGTTATAAGGACCAATATATCTATTCTGTTCCTCCCAAGAATGGATACCAGAACCCATTCAAGGAAAACAAATAGGTCTGCTTTTGAATCTGCACTAGCTGTCTGCATTTGGCTTAATAAGTGCCTGCGCGTGCGTGTGTGAGAGAGAGAGAGAGAGAGAGAGAGAGAGAGAGAGAGAGAGAGAGAGAGAGAGAGAGAGAGAGAGAGAGAGAGAGAGAGAGAGAGAGAGAGAGAGAGAGAGAGAGAGAGAGAGAGAGAGAGAGAGAGAGAGAGAAGAGAGAGAGAGAGAGAGAGAGAGAGAGAGAGAGAGAGAGAGAGAGAGAGAAAGCGAGAGAGAGACAGAGAGACAGAAAAAGTGTGTGTGTGCGTGCACGCATGTGCTATGCATGTGTGTGTTTTAGTGAGGGAGTGAGAGAGGGAAAGTTCAAGTCAAAGTCAGGAGGATCGACTTCATTGCACTGGGTTTTATCCCATTCTAGTCTGTCTCCCTCAGCAGAATGGCTAGCCATTTGTCAAAAATGTTGCATAAAGCACAAACTCCACAGCTCCAATTTTGGCCCCCATAAAGATCTCCATAAAATACTGCACTTGTGAACTGAACGAAGCCTCAGTGTAAAGTCCATGTTGCACATGTTTAGCATTATAATATCAAAGAACATCTGTATCAGAAATGATTGGCAGGACATGAGACAGAAGGCTGTGGATTGACAAGACTATCAACTCCACATGACAGACACTATAAGATTATCTTCCAGCCAATTTTCTTTTCTTTCGCTATCACAACAACAAAATAATATTCAAGGTAACAACCAAACGGACAACATTTTTACTTTTTAGCATCATGTCCCTTGAAGTAAGCACTGACAGTCTCTGTGAACGCTACAGCCAATGGGATGGTGTCGGACATGCCGATTGTCAGTGGACTAGGGCCCCGGGAGGATCCAACAGGCATAGAGGATATGTTAAAGGTCATGCTTCCATTACTGTCTGATCGAATCATAGAAGTAGGCCCATTGATTTTAGTCTGTTGACAAGAGAGCAGTGACTTAAGTGGCATTCAATTTTATTATCACAGAATGTATACTGGTGTTCCAGTTTACAATCACATCTCCATACTGGTATTAAACTTGTCTATATCATGTACACTGGTGTTCAACTTTATTATATGAATACTGGCATTCAACTCTTATATCATGTATACCTGTACTCAACTTTTCCATATCATGTATACCTGTACTCAACTTTTCCATATCATGTATACCTGTACTCAACTTTTCCATATCATGTATACCTGTACTCAACTTTTCCATATCATGTATACCTGTACTCAACTTTTCCATATCATGTATACCTGTACTCAACTTTTCCATATCATGTATACCTGTACTCAACTTTTCCATATCATGTATACCTGTACTCAACTTTTCCATATCATGTATACCTGTACTCAACTTTTCCATATCATATATACTGGTATTCAACTTTTATCACCACATGTATACTGGTATTCAACTTTTATCACCACATGTATACTGGCATTCAACTTTACAATATCATATATACTAGTATTCAACTTTATCATATCAAGTATACTGATATTCAACTTTTATCACCACATGTATACTGGCATTCAACTTTACAATATCATGTATACTGGCATTCAACTTTACCATATCATATATACTGGCATTCAACTTTACAATATCATGTATACTGGCATTCAACTTTATCATATCATGTATGCTGTCATTCCACTTTACCATATCATATATACTGGTATTCAACTTTATCATATCATAAATACTGATATTCCACTTTATCATATCAAGTAAACTGGTATTCCACTTTATCATATCATGAACACTGTCATTCCACTTTACCATATCATATATACTGGCTTTCAACTTTATTATATCATGTATACTGGCATTCAACTTTATCATATCATGTATACTTATTTTCACCTTTTCCATTTAATCATTTCTACTGGTGTTCAAGTTTACCATCACATCATTTAAACTGGTATTCAAGTTTACCATCACATAATTAATAACGTCACCCAAGTTTACCTTTATACCTTTTCTAGCAGCATTCAAAATTCAACACTAAAGTTAAAACCTGTAAATATTATGTTCAATCAGTACTGCTGTGTGGAACTGAAACATGGGAAAAAAACGAAAAACGATTACAAATAAATTCTAAACATTCTTCAACTGCTGCCTGAGAAGAGTAGATTGAATTAAATGGTATGACAGAATCACTAACATGGAGCTCTGAAAGACAACTAAAAAAATAAGAGTGAAACAACAGAGAAAACCTGAGAACAGTATAATTAGAAGGGCTTTACAATGGAGTAACTCACAAGGGTATCAAATATAGGCACATTAAAAATAAAAACGTATGGAGAAGGGAATTAGATGGTGAAGTTAAAAAGGTGGAGGAGGGCATGGAGTGAGCTGCATGTAACAGCAAAGGATAGGATGACTCAACGTGAGTTGACTGAGGACCTATGCTACACTGGGGGATACAGGCAGAAAACAAGATATGGCAGCCAGTATAACATAATGTAATGAAAACTGAAACTGTTGAATTACATTACATCACGGGGTCAGCTGCATGTGACAGCAAAGGATAGGATGACTCAACGTGAAGAATGTTGAATTAAGAATCGACATCACAGCACTCAGGACACTCCCATAAGTGTTCAGTCCCCATCTACAGCAGCAAGCGAAGAGTTCCAATTCCGATGGTATCAGTAACCTTCTGATTGTATATCCGTCTCACTCTTTCCCTGAGTGTTTAGGGACGGCAAAATCCCCTGGTAACTCCTCACAGCGACATTCACCTAAGACCACAATGATCTATCTGCGCCTCCACACTGTTCACCAGTTTCCAAAGGGCCCGCACAATATCTAACTTATCATACATCAATTCACCACCAAGTGAATCGAAGCCAGCTAGTCTATCTCTCTGCTCATTTCCCAACACACCAGCATGACCTGGAGAAAATATCCAAAGGGTGCTAACTATCCGGGACCTCTGAAGTGATGCCTGCCACTCTGCACGAAGCCTGCCTGTCTTCACCTTTCTCAACATGCTCTGTGAGTCAGTTACAATCATGGCATGTGTGTACAGCTGATTCTCAAGCTAGCTTTTTTATTTTAGCGTTAACAGGAGACAGCAATCCCGACCCAACCCCAAACAGCTTTCCTTGTTTGCCGACAGCAAATTTAAGAAATGTTACCGTTGGAATGATGCCTCGGTTTCTTGATGGTGGTCGTGCCACCGGCGGCGGAAGGCCACTGACTGGGGATGTAATATGACTTGGTGGGGAGATGACAGGCCCAGAAACAACTGGAGGTGTTCTCCTGCCAACAGGATTCTTAAAACCTGCAAAATCTGTAGAAGAAAAAGAAGAAAACATATAAAATGTTAGCTGCAGAAGCTAAAGAATATATTTGATTTTAAAACCTAATTCAGTAGCTGGCTAACAAGGAATGTGAACAAATGAATCAACAGTATACTCAGACATGAAACATATGAGAAACAGTCATCAACAGTATACTCAGACAGAAACATGTGAGAAACAGTCATCAACAGTATACTCAGACAGAAACATGTGAGAAACAGTCATCAACAGTATACTCAGACATGAAACATATGAGAAACAGTCATCAACAGTATACTCAGACATGAAACATGAGAAACAGTCATGAAATTATGGTCATGGTGGAATATCAAGTCTACTCTGCTCATTATTCTTACAATCTTCTTGTACTGGAACTTAAGAAGAGAGGTAAAGAAATAAAGTCAGATCCCCCAGAAAATTAATGAAGTGGCGCTTACCAGGCAACTACGTAAAGCAAGGCCAGGGAGATAACCACTGCCTCCAGAGTACTCACATGGGCAGCAGAACAAGCAGTCACATATGCTGTGACCATATCAGATTCTAAAAACCTGCATCATAAAACTGCAACAGGTAGTCTCTGCTCTGAATGGGTACACAACATTCAGAAGTTGCAATGAACATCCTCACCTGGATCTACACACCTGATCAATGCCAGAGTAAAAGGTAAAGATCAAGCAGATCAATTAGTACTAGGCTGAGGGATAATGATACATCTTTGATGCCAACCTGATTACATGACCTGGGTAAGAAGCCTGGTGAAGCACATCTCTGAGGTGAAGATAGGAGAGACTGCAACCAGCTTGTCATGGGAACAATCAGTAGAGGTACTTTAGGGTGACTGCTGCATCGGAGGACTGAGCATGTAAGAGATGCCCAATGAGCAATGACATCAAATGTGATTCATGAAGAAGATAATCAGAGACTAGTGTGAACAAGATTTTACAAAAGGACATGGGCTGATAAAGCACACAATGATAATGAACAGGACGATCTGGTAAGCTGGTTGAGGGTCTATGTTTACTTGATGATCAAAAGCAGAATAGGAAACAAACAGAAGGTGCAGATCTAAATACAAAGGTTTATGACATACCACCATGCATAAGAAATAATGAATAAGGATATGTTTTTACAAACAAATGAAGATGACATTACTTTCTGTACAAATTCTAATCTGCTACTCAAGTTATACATACTTGATGTTGTTGCTGCAGCAATCCTGCTAGTGTCATTTGCCCAGTTGATTTCTGTGTGAGCCGACTGTGGGGAGGGTAGGGAAATGTTGTAGTTGGCACAGGTAGGTGTTGAGGCAGCTGAACTGGATCCTATAAAGTCTAAGTTCAGCAAGTCCTTATCTGGTTTGCTTGAAACAAAACAAGAAAGATAAGATGCAGATTCACACACATACAATATTTCTAGGATCCAGAACAACAAACATTATAACTTCAACCAGTCTACTCATTGGCAAAGAATAAGACTCAATGTTAGTGACATTCTGAGGCAGTTCTCTTTTCCTGTTATCAGTAGTTTGCATGCCTTTGAATATTTAACTGCATAGAAACAGTCTACATGCATCAGTCATTTAACTGCATGGAAACAGTTTGCATGACATCAGTAATTTAACTGCATGGAAACAGTTTGCATGACATCAGTAATTTAACTGCATGGAAACAGTTTGCATGACATCAGTAATTTAACTGCATGGAAACAGTTTGCATGACATCAGTAATTTAACTGCATGGAAAACAGTTTGCATGACATTTGTAATTTAACTGCATGAAAACAGTCTGCATGACATCAGTAATTTAACTGCATGGAAACAGTCTACATGCATCAGTAATTTAACTGCATGAAAACAGTCTACATGCATCAGTAATTTAACTGCATGGAAACAGTCTGCATGACATCAGTAATTTAACTGCATAGAAACAGTCTGCATGACATCAGTAATTTAACTGCATGGAAACAGTCTACATGCATCAGTAATTTAACTGCCTGGAAACAGTCTGCATTACAGTAATTTAACTGCATGGAAACAGTCTGCATTACAGTAATTTAACTGCATGGAAACAGTCTGCATTACAGTAATTTAACTGCATGGAAACAGTCTGCATTACAGTAATTTAACTGCATGGAAACAGTCTACATGCATCAGTAATTTAACTGCATGGAAACAGTATGCATGACATCAGTAATTTAACTGCATGAAAACAGTTTGCATGACATCAGTAATTTAACTGCATGAAAACAGTTTGCATGACATCAGTAGTTTAACTGCATGAAAACAGTCTGCATGACATCAGTAGTTTAACTGCATAGAAACAGTCTACATGCATCAGTAGTTTAACTGCATAAAAACAGTCTGCATGACATCAGTAATTTAACTGCATGAAAACAGTCTGCATGACATCAGTAGTTTAACTGCATAGAAACAGTCTACATGCATCAGTAGTTTAACTGCATGGAAACAGTCTGCATGACATCAGTGATTTAACTGCATGGAAACAGTCTGCATGACATCAGTAATTTAACTGCATGGAAACAGTCTGCATGACATCAGTAATTTAACTGCATGAAAACAGTCTACATGACATCAGTAATTTAACTGCATAGAAACAGTCTGCATTACAGTAATTTAACTGCATGGAAACAGTCTGCATGACATCAGTAATTTAACTGCATGGAAACAGTCTACATGCATCAGTAATTTAACTGCATGGAAACAGTCTGCATGACATCAGTAGTTTAACTGCATGGAAACAGTCTGCATGACATCAGTAATTTAACTGCATGAAAACAGTCTGCATGACATCAGTAATTTAACTGCATGGAAACAGTCTACATGACATCAGTAATTTAACTGCATGAAAACAGTCTGCATGACATCAGTAGTTTAACTGCATAGAAACAGTCTACAAACAGTCTGCATGAAACAGTCTGCATCAGTAATTTAACTGCATGAAAACAGTCTGCATGACATCAGTAATTTAACTGCATGGAAACAGTCTACATGACATCAGTAATTTAACTGCATGGAAAAAACAGTAATTTAACTGCATGAAAAACAGTCTGCATGACATCAGTAGTTTAACTGCATGGAAACAGTCTGCATGACATCAGTAATTTAACTGCATGGAAACAGTCTGCATGACATCAGTAATTTAACTGCATGGAAAACAGTCTGCATGACATCAAACAGTCTGAAAACATGACATCAGTAATTTAACTGCATGGAAAACAGTCTGCATGACATCAGTAATTTAACTGCATGGAAACAGTCTGCATGACATCAGTAATTTAACTGCATGGAAAACAGTCTGCATGACATCAGTAATTTAACTGCATGGAAACAGTCTACTGCATGGAAACAGTCTGCATGACATCAGTAATTTAACTGCATGGAAACAGTCTGCATGACATCAGTAATTTAACTGCATGGAAACAGTCTACATGCATCAGTAATTTAACTGCCTGGAAACAGTCTGCATGACATCAGTAGTTTAACTGCATGGAAACAGTCTGCATGACATCAGTAATTTAACTGCATGAAAACAGTCTGCATGAAATCAGTAATTTAACTGCATGGAAATAGTCTACATGACATCAGTAATTTAACTGCATGAAAACAGTCTGCATGACATCAGTAGTTTAACTGCATAGAAACAGTCTGCATTACAGTAATTTAACTGCATGGAAACAGTATGCATGACATCAGTAATTTAACTGCATGGAAACAGTCTACATACATCAGTAATTTAACTGCATGGAAACACTGTAGAAACTGCATGACATCAGTAATTTAACTGCATGGAAACAGTCTACATGACATCAGTAATTTAACTGCATGAAAACAGTCTGCATGACATCAGTAATTTAACTGCATGGAAACAGTCTGCATGACATCAGTAATTTAACTGCATGAAAACAGTCTGCATGACATCAGTAATTTAACTGCATGGAAACAGTCTGCATGACATCAGTAATTTAACTGCATGGAAACAGTCTGCATGACATCAGTAATTTAACTGCATGGAAAACAGTCTGCATGACATCAGTAATTTAACTGCATGAAGAAACAGTCTGCATGACATCAGTAATTTAACTGCATGGAAACAGTCTGCATGATGACATCAGTAATTTAACTGCATGAAACAGTCTGCATGACATCAGTAATTTAACTGCATGGAAAACAGTCTGCATGACATCAGTAATTTAACTGCATGGAAACAGAGTCTGCATGACATCAGTAATTTAACTGCATGAAAACAGTCTGCATGACATCAGTAATTTAACTGCATGGAAACAGAGTCTGCATGACATCAGTAATTTAACTGCATGGAAACAGAGTCTGCATGACATCAGTAATTTAACTGCATGGAAACAGTCTGCAACAGTCTGCATGAAACAGTCATCAGTAATTTAACTGCATGGAAAACAGTCTCAGTAATGCATCAGTCAGTAATTAACTGCATGGAAACAGTCTGCATGCATCAGTAATTTAACTGCATGGAAAACAGTCTGCATGACATCAGTAATTTAACTGCATGGAAACAGTCTGCATGACATCAGTAATTTAACTGTCATGAAAACAGTCTGCATGACAAGTAATTTAACTGCATGAAAACAGGTCAGCATGCATGAAAACTTCAGTAATTTAACTGCATGGAAACAGAGTCTGCATGCCTTCAGTAATTTAACTGCATGGAAAACAGTCAGCATGCCTTCAGTCATTTAACTGCATGGAAAACAGTCAGCATGCCTTCAGTCATTTAACTGCATGGAAAACAAAGCAGGCATCAGTAATTTAACTGCATGAAAACAGTCTGCATGACATCAGTAATTTAACTGCATGAAAACAGTTTGCATGACATCAGTAATTTAACTGCAGGGAAACAGAGTCAGCATGCCTTCAGTCATTTAACTGCATGGAAACAGAGTCAGCATGCCTTCAGTCATTTAACTGCATGGAAACAGAGTCAGCATGCCTTCAGTCATTTAACTGCATGGAAACAGAGTCAGCATGCCTTCAGTCATTTAACTGCATGGAAACAGAGTCAGCATGCCTTCAGTCATTTAACTGCCTGGAAACTCAGTCTGCCGTCAGTTTAACTGCATAGGAAACAAGCATGCCTTCAGTAATTTAACTGCATGAAACTTCTGCAGGTCATTTAACTGCATGGAAACAAGAGTCAGCATGCCTTCAGTCATTTAACTGCATGGAAACAAGAGTCTGCATGCCTTCAGTCATTTAACTGCAGTCCATTTAACTGCAGGAAACAAGAGTCAGCATGCCTTCAGTCATTTAACTGCATGAAAACAGGAAAACAGAGTCAGCATGCCTTCAGTCATTTAACTGCATGGAAACAGAGTCAGCATGCCTTCAGTCATTTAACTGCAGGGAAACAGAGTCAGCATGCCTTCAGTCATTTAACTGCAGGGAAACAGAGTCAGCATGCCTTCAGTCATTTAACTGCAGAAACAGAGTCAGCAACAAGTAATTTAACTGCATGGAAACAGTCAGCATGCCTTCAGTCATTTAACTGCATGGAAACAGTCTGCATGACATCAGAAATTTAACTGCATGGAAACAGCATGCCTTCAGTCATTTAACTGCAGGGAAACAGCAGTCAGCATGCCTTCAGTCAGTAATTTAACTGCAGGGAAAACAGAGTCAGCATGCCTTCAGTCATTTAACTGCATGGAAACAGAGTCAGCATTGACATCAGAGTCAGCATGAAACCTGCATGACATCAGTCATTTAACTGCATGGAAACAAGAGTCAGCATGCCTTCAGTCATTTAACTGCATGGAAACAGAGTCAGCATGCAGTCATTAACTTCAGTCATTTAACTGCATGGAAACAGAGTCAGCATGCCTTCAGTCATTTAACTGCAGGGAAACAGAGTCAGCATGCCTTCAGTCATTTAACTGCATGGAAACAGAGTCAGCATGCCTTCATCATTTAACTGCATGGAAACAGCATGCCTTCAGTCATTTAACTGCATGCCTTCAGTCATTTAACTGCAGTCATTTAACTGGAAACAGAGTCAGCATGCCTTCAGCCATTTAACTGCATGGAAACAGAGTCAGCATGCCTTCAGTCATTTAACTGCATGAAAACAGAACAGACTGTCAGCATGCCTTCAGTCATTTAACTGCATGGAAACAGAGTCAGCATGCCTTCAGTCATTTAACTGCATGGAAACAGAGTCAGCATGCCTTCAGTCATTTAACTGCATGGAAACACAGATGTCCTTCAGTCATTTAACTGCATGCCTTCAGTCATTTAACTGCATGGAAACAAGAGTCAGCATGCCTTCAGTCATTTAACTGCATGGAAACAGAGTCAGCATGCCTTCAGTCATTTAACTGCAGGGAAACAGAGTCAGCATGCCTTCAGTCATTTAACTGCATGGAAACAGAGTCAGCATGCCTTCGGTCATTTAACTGCATGGAAACACAGTCAGCATGCCTTCGGTCATTTAACTGCAGGGAAACAGAGTCAGCATGCCTTCAGTCATTTAACTGCAGGGAAACAGAGTCAGCATGCCTTCAGTCATTTAACTGCAGGGAAACAAGAGTCAGCTGGCCTTCAGTCATTTAACTGCAGGGAAACAAGAGTCAGCATGCCTTCAGTCATTTAACTGCAGGGAAACAAGAGTCAGCATGCCTTCAGTCATTTAACTGCAGGGAAACAGAGTCAGCATGCCTTCAGTCATTTAACTGCAGGGAAACAAGAGTCAGCATGCCTTCAGTCATTTAACTGCAGGGAAACAAGAGTCAGCATGCATTCAGTCATTTAACTGCAGGGAAACAAGAGTCAGCATGCCTTCAGTCATTTAACTGCAGGGAAACAAGAGTCAGCATGCCTTCAGCCATTTAACTGCATGGAAACAGAGTCAGCATGCCTTCAGTCATTTAACTGCAGGGAAACAGAGTCAGCATGCCTTCAGCCATTTAACTGCATGGAAACAGAGTCAGCATGCCTTCAGTCATTTAACTGCATGGAAACAGAGTCAGCATGCCTTTAGTCATTTAACTGCATGGAAACAAGAGTCAGCAGGCCTTCAGTCATTTAACTGCAGGGAAACAGAGTCAGCATGCCTTCAGTCATTTAACTGCAGGGAAACAGAGTCAGCATGCCTTCAGTCATTTAACTGCAGGGAAACAGAGTCAGCATGCCTTCAGCCATTTAACTGCAGGGAAACAGAGTCAGCAGGCCTTCAGTCATTTAACTGCAGGGAAACAGAGTCAGCATGCCTTCAGTCATTTAACTGCATGGAAACAAGAGTCAGCATGCCTTCAGTCATTTAACTGCATGGAAACAGAGTCAGCATGCCTTCAGTCATTTAACTGCAGGGAAACAAGAGTCAGCATGCCTTCAGTCATTTAACTGCAGGGAAACAAGAGTCATCATGCCTTCAGTCATTTAACTGCAGGGAAACAAGAGTCAGCAGGCCTTCAGTCATTTAACTGCATGGAAACAGAGTCAGCATGCCTTCAGTCATTTAACTGCAGGGAAACAGAGTCAGCATGCCTTCAGTCATTTAACTGCAGGGAATCAGAGTCAGCATGCCTTCAGTCATTTAACTGCAGGGAAACAAGAGTCAGCAGGCCTTCAGTCATTTAACTGCATGGAAACAAGAGTCAGCATGCCTTCAGTCATTTAACTGCAGGGAAACAGAGTCAGCATGCCTTCAGTCATTTAACTGCAGGGAAACAGAGTCAGCATGCCTTCAGTCATTTAACTGCAGGGAAACAGAGTCAGCATGCCTTCAGTCATTTAACTGCATGGAAACAGAAAATGAATTTCAGTCATTTCCTTACAAACTGTTTATTATCAAATGTGACCCCCCCCCCCCCCCCCTCCCAAAAAAAACTGACATTGTAACTGTCTCTACCAGAACCATCATAGGCACATGTAATGGCTCAGTAACTGAGCTTTGGCAGTGACAGAATATTGTATTTTCACCCATGTGTTACAGGAGTTCATAGCAACAATAACATTGTATACTAACTACCATACCACCCCCCACCCCCACAAACTGTATTGCATTTACATATTAAAAGCAAAATTTAATATTACAGGCAAAACATTTTTAAAAAAAGATATCATCATCAAGTGCGTTGCCAGCTGGCGTAGGCATTCATGCATCGCCACAGATCTCGGTCTCTGGTGTTCTGGATCAATTCCACTGATGATTTTCCTCCATGCCTCTGTCTTAAGGCATCCATCATCATTTCTTTTGGTCTGTCTCTGACTCTTCCACCAGTGATCTCTCCAGTCGTCACGATATTTTCCAATGCTTCTTTTCTCATTACATGACCAAAGAACTTTGTTTTGTCTCCTTCTCGTTGTTGTATATAATGTTCTATACTATATAAAACATATATAAATGAGAAGATAGCTACCAAAAAAAAAAAAATCACTCTGGCATTAACATTTAAAGTATGAAGTGGATGACAGTCTTGGAAGAAAGTCAAGATACATATAAATACAAATTACAGGGAGCTTACTCTAAAGTGTCGGACTCTGACTGGGACCTCTTCATCTTTTTGTCCACCGGTGTTTGGCTTCTTTTTTTCTGTGGATCACACAAAGCAAAATCATCAATGAAATAAATAACGTGGTTAGCAATGCCAGTGGTTGTATGAGAAGAGCCCAAGAGCACAGCAAACTATATCAATATATTACAGAATAAACTTTAAAAAAAAACTGTGTATGAGGGAGATGGGAGAAAATGAGGGAAAAGGGAGGGAGGGAGTGAGACGGAGATGGACAGAAAGAGAGAGGGAGGGAAGAGAGAGAGAGAGAGAGACACCAAGAGACAGAGACAAAGAGAGGAACACTTACAATTCATTGGACAATCCAACAACAACAAAATACTTGTTTTGAAACATGCTAGCACCTGAAGACAACCTGTGACGAATTGAAGACAACTTGTGACAAACATCAGGAAGAGAGTCATCATTTTCAGCCACATTACAAAAAGAAGAAAACTGGAATATACTGTAACTACCGGAAAGATTTATAGAAAAATGATAGAGGAAGACAATGAGAGAATATTCTTTCTTCAGATCTATCCATGCAGCTAGCACCAGCTTTTTTTCCTGGGAGGCATCCTCACTTTTTTGCAAAAGGTAAGTTGTTTGACCTTCTGTGGAGTAGCACTGTCTAAAGCCTGCCTGCTGTGCCATGAAGATGTTTTCACTTTACAAATACCATTGGAGTCCAAGACTGACAATGCGATCCAGTTTTACAGAGACAGCTGGTAAGGCTGACTGGTTGATAGCTATCAGAACTTTCCTTTCCTGGTTTAAGAAGGGGTATCGTGATTACTTCTTTCCATATATGGGGAACTTAGCCACCAGTCCAACAATGATGAAAGATCTGTAGCATACTTTATTTTGGCAGTTTTTCCAAGGTTCTTGATAATTTTGTTGGTTATTCCATCAATTCCAGGTGACTTTACCATTTTCAGCTTTGATATTGCTAACTCTAGCTCGATAGACTAAGTGCTGCCACCAGTGCCTCAGGAATTATATCATTTTGTCTTGTGTGCTGCTGATTTTCTCAAACCTCTTGCTGTTTCTCCTAGCTGACACAAAGGTTGCTGTCTTTGGCAAAAGAATCTGCACAGTGGTCAGCTGCCCATTTTCTTGTTGAGATGGCTTCTTTTCTGCATAATGCAATATTTGCATTTCTCCCTGTACTTTATCATTAATTTGTTTTACTAGCCTCCACAACTATCTTGTGACTCATTCAAAATTTAGAGACTGTTTTTTCCTGCCAGCTTGTTCATCTAAACTGCAGCTTGACTGTGAAATTTGACCTCCACATGTTGTTATTTATTGAACTGCTCTTGACAAGGTCTGGCATCAGCTTGCTTTGTTTCTGTTTCAATATCGTTGTGCAGTTCACAATTCCAATATGGTTTAAATTGTTTATGCGCACCTCTTGGTATTGCTTCTAGGGTTGCCTGCAGTAAGCATTTGCTGAACTCTTCGACTGCATTTCCTGCATCGTTATCTGTGTTATGATTTTCAAGCAAAACATTTGTGCGGTGCTGATACAACTTTCAGTCTGCCTTCTTATAATTTCATCTTGGCAGAGTGCTGCTCTCTCTTACAAACCAGCTTTCCACTGTTAGAAAGAATGGCTGGTGGTTACTGCCTCCTAGTTGTTTCCCAACAGTTCTAGTAACATTCAGTTCCATGTCTGGCGAGTGAAAGACCAGGTCTGGTGTCGAGGTTGTATGCCATGCTCTTGAGTAGAAGTCTGGTGGGTCAGTTGGCTTCTTATTGAGGATAAATCTATTCTCATCCTGCCAGTCCTCCAGTTTCTCTCCTCTCTAGTCCATATGATCGTAGCCCCAACTTTGCAAGTGGCTATTAAAATCTTCATAAATGATCATTCTTTCATTTGCTGTTACTGTATCCAGTGCCTGAGGACGATCGCTCGAACAGTAATAGTTGATCAGATGTAAATCTGTATTTACTATCTTGAGCTGAAGAGTGTGTATATTTCAATTTGGCCTACAAGGATATTATTTTTTGACCAGAGTAAGAATTCCACCTTTTCTCCTGTATTTTCGGACAGATCCGAACCACTGGTAGCCTCTGATCTTGAAGGCTATGTCTTGTTTGAGGTAGATCTCTTGAAGTCAGCATACATGTATCTGCTTATCGTTCAAGGTATTTTCTAGTTCTAATTTCTTGGTTTTTACTCTCTCCGTGTTCCAGTGCATTATTTTTAGACTAGCTGTATTTTCTGCTCTTCTGGTTCTACGAGGCATTTGATGGTTTCCAGTTTTCGCAGCTAGACCCTTTCTACTAGACGTTGGCCTGTAAGATGTCACACGTGTACGTGAGTCGGTCACAACAGTTTTAAATCACAGAATATTTAGTTTTCTCGAGAGAAAAAAACATCCATCACAAATAAATCTGTAAAAAAGGCACTTTATTATTCTTCCCCCCCCCCCCCCCCCCCCCAAAAAAAAAAACCAGATAAAGCGTAAACTTTAATAATAATAATTGGCATCTTGTTACATAATTTGAGTTTTGCATGCATATCCGATTTACATATCTGACTAATTTTTATGCAGACTGTTGGTTCCTCCCCTCTGAGGCAGATGCACTCCAACTTCGAGAATGCACCTCTAATTGACTTACTTTTATGGCACGCTTGTTGGGAGGGGTAGTGGGCTACTTATTTTCACCGCAAATGGGGCCCTGGCACCCATCTGGTTGCAGCAAAACAAAAACAAAAACACGCACGCACACACACATTATTTTTAAAGGGGCTATAAAACTAGCTGAGAGAACCCAGTGAACACACAATGAATGTTGAATGCTGAATTAAGAATTAACATCATAGCCCTCAAGACATTCCCATAGGCGCCCTATCTTCAGCAGCAAGCGAAGAGTTCCAATTCTGATAATACAAGCATGCATAAGGAAGAAATGAGTTTACTGATCCTACCATTATTGAAGGGGACAGGCGCAGGCCTTCCACGGAGGCTCTAAGGTCCTCAATTGTGCCAACTGGGGTGGCACTTGTGGGGCTGAGGGGTCTGATGGCAACAATGATCTTCCGTCTGCTCTCTTCACCATCTGAAATACACAAATCCAACTGAGCAACATCAACACAAGCAGACTATTCTTTCTGCTTTTCACTTTTATCAACATCATCCTTTCATGCCATTACAGATTACACAGGGCTTGCAGTCTATTCTTCCATTACGTTCTATGCAGTGTAATATTTTCTTTAGTAAATAAATACAACAGAAACCAGATGTCAGAAAGCAAGTGCCCTTATATACCAACTGTCACCATTATTAACAAACACATCCAAACATAACTTTGAATGCAAAGAGACAGATTATATTCAGCATTGTTATTTTAACATTAAGCTACCAGTGCCAAACATGGACACTATCTAAAGCCCATGTATGCAAGATCACCACTTGCGAGATGAGATGCCTGAAAAAAGCTGCCAACCTAACCATCCGAGCGAATGATGATAATGTCAGATGAATTGTGGGAATGACATTTTGTACTAAATTCATAGAGAAACCACTGATCAAGTGGTATGCAATCTTATTATAGAATGCAGCAAGATCAAATACCATCACGAGCACTACATGTCAAAAGATCAGCTATAAGAGCAAGAGGACAGCTGCAAAAAAAAATCGACTGACAACAATAAAGACATACTACACCTTCATGGCATGACAATAACCAGTGGCAGCCATTGTGCACTAGTTTGCAAATGTTTACGCCCCACGACGCTCAACAGCAGAAGTGGTTTATGATGATGAAAAAATACAAATTGTGCAGCTGGCTGCAAGGTATCCAGTGTTAAATATGGGAATATTACATGATGAGGCCCTCCCACACTGTACCACGGTGCAACTCACACGTCTGAAGCCATGAGGATATTTTTTTTACCACCAACAGCTGGAAAATAATCCTGTTAAACACATAGGACTGCATTGTGAAACCAATTCACTAGCCTTTAAGTCAAAAAGCCTCACATTTTCTTTAGTAAATGTTTTCTTTAGCATCAGAAAACACAGTGGTTGGGGGTTCGACTCTTCAATTCCCGGGATTGTATACAGTTCTGGTATCTGAACAAACCTCTTGGAAGGAAATGTACAAAACAGGTCATTTCACATTATAATGCAGTGATCTTTTTTTTTTTTCAGAAACAAAAATCATTAATAAGTTATGTGTATGAGGAAGAGAATGTTACAAACAGAATAACATTAAATTAAAAGAGGGCTACGTGAGTACACTACCACGAGGATTGAGAACAAATGTGAATGCCCAATATGCAGTGATGTCGATTGTGTGATAACAGAGCTGGCACTTGATCCTCATTATTGCTCCTAACCCGCTGTCACAAGCAAATATGTTTCTCCCTAACTCACAACTTCCTATACTATTGCATACTTTCATCTCCAATGCAGATATACTTACTTATCTGCATTAAATGTAATATATCAAGAAGAAAAGATAAAACACACAACAAAAACAGGAGGTAAACTGAAGTTTATCTATTTAAAAAAATACTTACCCGAGTCTGAGTCACTGTCACTTGAGTACCAGCTATTTTTGTCCCCGTTATCTAAGCCAGTTAAGGAATCATACCAACATATTCAGGGAACAGCTGACACATCCGTTTGCTAAATGTTGTTCTAAGATCAACAACCATACACATAAACAAAGGAACCAAAAGGGGAAATATCTACATAACAGACAAGTTTAACTACATTTTTTCTTCTTCTTCTTCTTCACCAGCTGTAAACTCAGGCGGAAAGTTATGGGTGTTCGTCCACTTCTGGACTGCAGTCCTGTTCCAGAACCTGAGTGTTGCGTGTGCATCCGTTTGACAGATTTGACTCATTTGTATGCAGACTGATGGTTCCTTGCCTCTCAGGCAGATGCACTCTGACTTCGAAGGAAAATTACATGTCAAAACACTATGTCTATTTTAGTCTGGCTGAACATGAACAAAGGTTCCATAACTGTATACAGAGCTGGTAGGATAGAAACATGGGTTTTATGAAGCATACATGTGAACTGCTCAATCCAATGAGACATACAATTACACACAGAATCAAATGAGTGATGTGTCCCATGATGCTATGAGTGATGTGTCCCATGATGCTATGAGTGATTTGTCCCATGATGCTATGAGTGATTTGTCCCATGATGCTATGAGTGATGTGTCCCATGATGCTATCAGAGATGTGTCCCATGATGCTATGAGTGATGTGTCCCATGATGCTATCAGAGATGTGTCCCATGATGCTATGAGTGATGTGTCCCATGATGCTATCAGAGATGTGTCCCATGATGCTATTGGAGATGTGTTCCATGGTGCTATTAGAGATGTGTCCTGTGATGCTATGAACTACGTTTCCTATGATGCTATGAGTAATTTTTCCCATGTTGCCCTGAGTGATGTTCCCCATGATTCTATGAGTGGTGTATCCCATGATGCTATCAGTGATGTATCCCATTATACCATAAGTGATATGTCTCATGATGCTGAGTGATGTGTTTCATGATGCTAGGAGTGATGTCTACCATGATGCTATGAATAATGTGTTTCATGTGGCTATGAGTGATAACTCCCATAGTGACCTGTCCCATAATGTTATAAATAATAAGATCAATGATACTGTGAGTGATCTATATCATAATGTGTCCTGTAAAAAAATGAGTGATGCATCCTGTGATAATGAGTGATGTGTTCCATGATGCTATGAGTGATGTGTCCTGTGATAATGAGTGATGTGTCCTGTGATAATGACTGATGTGTTCCATGATGCTATGATTGGTATGTTCCCTGATGCTATGAGTGATGTGTTTTGTGATGAGTGATGTGTTCCATGATGCTATGATTGGTATGTTCCATGATGCTATGATTGGTATGTTCCATGATGCTGAGTGATGTGTCCTGTGATAATGAGTGATGTGTTTCATGATGCTATGATTGGTATGTTCCATGATGCTATGAGTGATGTGTCCTGTGATAATGAGTGATGTGTTCCATGATGCTATGATTGGTATGTTCCATGATGCTATGATTGGTATGTTCCATGATGCTGAGTGATGTGTCCTGTGATAATGAGTGATGTGTTTCATGATGCTATGATTAGTATGTCCCATGATGCTATGAGTGATGTGTCCCATGATGCTATGAGTGATGTGTCCCATGATGCTATGTAGATATGTCCCATGTTGCTATAAACGATATGTCCCATGATGCTATCAGTGATGTATACCATTCTTCTTCTTCTTCTTCTGCGTTCGACATCAATCATGCTACACATTGAGTCCCGTCTGGGTCAAAAATAGGATTCTGCGTTTAAGGTCGCTACTGGTCCCCCATAGCTTCTCTCGCAATGTGGATCCCCTGGGCCAGATCCACAGTCTTTGCTGGGAGAGGTAAGGGCAGTACTGCAGTATGTGCTCAGGGGTCTGTCTTTCTGCTCCACAATCACAGGCAGCAGATTCTTTTATGCCTATCCTGTACAGGTTTGCTCGAAGACCAGTGTCCAGTCCGAAGTCTAAAAATTGATGTTTGTTCTTTCCTTTTGAGTTTGTTTATGCTGTCACTCTCTGGTCTGTAATCTCTACTCTGCTTTCTCCAATCTCGCTTGTATACCATGATTCTGTGACACATGTGTTCCATGATGTGTGATATATTTACATGACACAAATGATAATTACATGACATAAGTGATATATTGCATGATTCAAAGTGATGTATTACATGAGTGATACATTACAGGACACAAGTGATATGTTACATATGACTCAAGTGATGTTTTTCATGACAGAATCTGTCTATGTTATATTACATAATGTTATAAGGGACATGCTATACTATATGTTACTTATAAAAGTGGCATCACTACAAAACTAAATACAGCTATGTCAAGGATACTCTCCAAAGGATTGTCACGACGTATTCTGTATCCTTCCTCATCAACTTCAATGTTCTGATGGTTAAATACACAACACAGCATCAATCCATCAATAACACTAAGACTGTTAATTCTAAACTAGCAGTGATGACAATTTAAGATCGTTAATTAAATTAAAAGATTCTGGTCTGATTGTTAGCTTTCACTGGCAAGTCAAACACAGAATACTTTTAAAATGGCAGGTTGTTATTGTAGCTTAAACATATACATGATCTCAAGTTGTATGAAGTTATGAAGTTATATGTCATTTGAAGCGTGTTATTTGGGCTCTTGTGGGAAGCAAAGAATAGTAACAATGCACTCTACCAGGCATATCGTAAGAGGCAACTTAGGGTATATATATATATATATAACATTAATAAACTCTTGACCCATTAGGGTTGTGGAGGTGTATGGATGGAAGTACTAGAAAACAAAATCCACCATCTTTCTGTCTTCCGCTTGCTGAACAAGTGTATAGTAATTTAGTCCTGTCCATTTCTTGATGTTGAAATTTCAGGTTCTTTTTTTTTTCCATCCCCCCACCCCCACTTTTTTTTTCAACTACCCCCAAATGCTCCTTAAAGTACAGTCTTTTCAATCGAATCATGTTTCACCACATGTCTGAACCAAGCAAGCTTGCGACTTTGTTGCCACTGCCACGATTACCACTGATGCCATGCAAATTTGCAACCACTTGGCACTGTAAAGTGTTTCAAACAAAACAGACATACTGTGCCTATTGAAAGATTCTGCATGTGGATCAACATCACTTCAGATGAGCATACGCTGATAGCTCCTGATTTTGAAAGCCTCACTGTGTGATGCTGTCAACACCAGGCTGGGTCTCAAACTCCTACAACATTCTTGGTAGCTATTTCTGAGACCGATTTTACAAGTCCATAATAATGATAGGGAGGCAGAGTAGAGTATGGCCAAATGCTCACAGCCTGCAGGCTACAAGTCTTGGATTTCAATTCACATGGAGTCAGATTTAGACAGAAATTTACCTTTGCTCTCAGGTCAAGCCAGCCTTAAATGGGTACCAGGTAATTTCCTGGAAAGTAAAGACGGCCATCGTTATGTTGACCACGTGACCCACTGGGTGCCGACTGGTCTACACAAATATGAGTCTAGCATCATATACCCAATGCCCCACTGGTGTGAGAGGGGTCTTTAATTTTTCAACCTCAACCTGGATAAAGCTTTCGGGTGCTGGCCCTGTGTCTATCACACACCAGTTACGGACACTGATCTCACTCAAAAGTACAAATCTAAACTTACCGCATCCTGGCTTTCAGCGTCTCTGTGGAAGTAATTAACACTTCATGAGTTAACAAATGTGGGTGAAAATGTATCTTTCAAACATTCATTATTATTTCATAATCAAATATTATACAATCAAGACTTCACAATGAAAAGACATTAAAAAAAAACTATATTTACTCTAATTGTGATAAGCTCTTGTTCTATATATATATATATATATATATATATATATATATATATATATATATATATATATATATATATATATATATATATATATATATATATATATATATATATATATATATCTTCCCTAGTGTAACTGTTCCCTGTATAAATAAAAGACCAAAACAGTAAATATTAAAACTGGGTACAAATATAAACAAATAATTGTTTTTATTTTTTATTTTTATTTTACTTTCCTGCCTTGCTATTTGATTAACTCTTGGTGTAGAGTGAATTAATTAGCAGCACTGGCGATTAGAAAGAACCCGGGAATGTTTTGGCTCAGAAAGATCTCCAACAGTACAAGAAGGGACAGGGCCATGAAGCCTAGGATTAGAGAGATGGTTGGAAAAAGACATGCCTGAGTTCCATTGAAAGACAAGAGATTGGAGGGATTCCGCCATCTAGACAGACCGTGTGAGATCTTCTACAGAAGAACATACAAGCAGAAGGCAAGAGGAAGACCAAAGAAGATGTGGACAATGCAGCTGAATCCTGCAAAAAGATTAACAAATCCATCGCTCAATCTGCCTGAGACAAAAACAGAAAACCATGACTCTGGTTTACATCCTGGTAACAGTGTGACGGGCTGCGTGGATTTTTATCGTGGTATGGGATGTCGCAGGTCGACCCAGCCTCAAATGGATACCAGGATGGGCTGTCCTGGGAAAGTAAAGATGGCCAGCGTAATGCTGACCACATTACCCACCGAGTGCCGAGTTGGTCTGTAAAAATATGGGTGCTCTTCCCATATGCCTGATGCGCCAAAGGGCGTGTGAAGGGATCTTTACTTTTTTTTTTTAACAGTGTGACAACAAATAAAAAAGAAGATTCACATATGGAAAAAAAAAATTATTTTTCTGCCAACTGCTCTACCACACAGATGATCCATACACAGAGAAAGAAACACCACAAATTACATAATTTCTACCAGCAAATATTCTAGTCTGCTTATATATAAGATACAGAAAGTGTTATCAAAGCTTTATGCTATTTGACCAGACCTGGTTACTTATCAAAGTAACAGCAATTCACTCTAACTGTTGTGCTAGGTGCCAAAACAGATTAGGTAGAGTGAAAACATAAAACCAATGGTGTCAGTTGCTGGTACTGCTCATAATAATCTTGTGAATGCTTGTTTCATGTATTTTTTTTTTTTAAATTAATCTGTTAAAAAACAAAACCAGCTCAAACAAAAGTATCATTTCACAGGATGAACAATATTTTGTGCAATCTACTTCTGTCAACTGAGAAGAGAGAAGATATCCTGATGTACCGAAGTCAGACACACATAGTATACTCATTAATCAAACATGGCAGCTGTAGAGATGTGGCTTTACATGCATGATGAGAACACTATGGACAAATGAAATGTGCAATAATGATATCTGGAAAGAAATTGAAACACAAAATGAAATGATTGCCCACATCAGGAGACAATCTACATTCTTTGGTCATCTCATGAGAAGAAGAAAACTGGAGTATGTCGTGATCATGGGAAAGTTAGAAGGGACGAGAGCCAGAGGGAGGATGACAGAGAAGATGCTGAACAGTTCTGCAATATGGCATGGAAGATCACCTGTAACAGAGAATGGCTGACAGCACACATGACAGAAAGCTGGGGATAGACACAATTAAAATGCCACAAACACGCATTACAAGAAGAAGAAAGATCTTGACAAAATAAAAACCTATCAGTGTGTGAAGTTAGCATTTCATCATGCATGCCAGACAGGTTTACATGCCTAATTCTTAAGCCTTTAAAAAAAATATCCTTGTCTGTTTGGTCATCTGAGAGACTGAAAAATAGGGTTTCTCAGGGAAACGCTCAGTAGAGGTACCTTGGGATGGCTGCTGCATTGGAGGACTGGGCACCCATGCGCAGTGATGTCAATATAATAACATAACATTTCACTCTGTTTAGCAATGGCAACAGACCATCCATAGTTCCTTATCTCTGCACATATTACGCAACAAGTGAGCAGACATGATGATTCTCAAACACACACTGCTTGTATCAACAAGAGAACAGTCAACCACACATGATGATTCTCAAACACACACTGCTTGTATCAACAAGAGAACAGTCAACCACACATGATGATTCTCAAACACACACTGCTTGTATCAACAAGAGAACAGTCAACCACACATGATGATTCTTCTTCTTCTTGTTCACCGGCTGTGAATTCCGGCGGTAAGTCGCGGTTGTTCGTCCAAATAGACTTCTGGCTTTTACCTTGACCTGAGTTTTGCATGTACATCCGTTTTACTGGCTTATTTGTTCGCAGTTCTCGTTCCCCGCCTCTCAGGCAGATGTACTCCGACTTCGGAGGAACATGATGATTCTTAAACACACACTGCTTGTTTGTATCAACAAGAGAACAGTCAACCACACATGATGATCCTCAAACACACACTGCTTGTTTGTATCAACAAGAGAACAGTCAACCACACATGATGATCCTCACACACTGCTTGTATCAACAAGAGAACAGTCAACCACACATGATAATTCTCAAACACACACTGCTTGTTTATATCAACAAGAGAACAGTCAACCACACATGATGATCCTCAAACACACACTGCTTGTTTGTGTCAACAAGAGAACAGTCAACCACACATGATGATCCTCAAACACACACTGCTTGTTTGTATCAACAAGAGAACAGTCAACCACACATGATGATCCTCAAACACACACTGCTTGTATCAACAAGAGAACAGTCAACCACACATGATGATCCTCAAACACACACTGCTTGTATCAACAAGAGAGCAGTCATCCACACATGATGATTCTCAAACACACACTGCTTGTATCAACAAGAGAACAGTCAACCACACATGATGATTCTCAAACACACACTGCTTGTATCAACAAGAGAACAGTCAACCACACATGATGATCCTCAAACACACACTGCTTGTATCAACAAGAGAACAGTCAACCACACATGATAATCCTCACACTGCTTGTATCAACAAGAGACCAGTCAACCACACATGATAATTCTTAAACACACACTGCTTGTATTAACAAGAGACCAGTCATCCACACATGATGATCTTTAAACACACACTGCTTGTATCAACAAGAGAACAGTCAACCACACATGATGATCCTCAAACACACACTGCTTGTATCAACAAGAGAACAGTCAACCACACATGATGATCCTCAAACATACACTGCTTGTATCAACAAGAGAACAGTCAACCACACATGATGATCTTCAAACACACACTGCTTGTTTGTATCAACAAGAGAACAGTCAACCACACATGATGATCCTCAAACACACACTGCTTGTTTGTATCAACAAGAGAACAGTCAACCACACATGATGATCCTCAAACACACACTGCTTGTTTGTATCAACAAGAGAACAGTCATCCACACATGATGATCTTTAAACACACACTGCTTGTATCAACAAGAGAGCAGTCAACCACACATGATAATCCTCAAACGCACACTGCTTGTATCAACAAGAGAACAATCAACCACACATGAAAATCCTCAAACACACACTGCTTGTATCAACAAGAGAACAGTCAACCACACATGATAATCTTTAAACACACACTGCTTGTATCAACAAGAGAGCAGTCATCCACACATGATAATCCTCAAACACACACTGCTTGTATCAACAAGAGAACAGTCAACCACACATGAAAATCCTCAAACACACACTGCTTGTATCAACAAGAGAACAGTCAACCACACATGATAATCCTCAAATACACACTGCCTGTATCAACAAGAGAACAGTCAACCACACATGATGTTCTTTAAACACACACTGCTTGTATCAACAAGAGAACAGTCAACCACACATGATGATCCTCAAAGACACACTGCTTGTATCAACAAGAGAACAGTCATCCACACATGATAATATTTAAACACACACTGCTTGTATCAACAAGAGAACAGTCATCCACACATGATGATCTTTAAACACACACTGCTTGTATCAACAAGAGAGCAGTCAACCACACATGATAATTCTTAAACACACACTGCTTGTATTAACAAGAAAACAGTCAATCACACATGAAAATCCTCAAACACACACTGCTTGTATCAACAAGAGAACAGTCAAACACAGATGAAAATTCTTAAACACACACTGCTTGTATCAACAAGAGAACAGTCAACCACACATGATGATCCTCAAACACACACTGCTTGTATCAACAAGAGAACAGTCAATGACACATGAAAATCCTCAAACACACACTGCTTGTATCAACAAGAGAACAGTCAAACACACATGAAAATTCTTAAACACACACTGCTTGTATCAACAAGAGAACAGTCAACCACACATGATGATCCTCAAACACACACTGCTTGTATCAACAAGAGACCAGTCATCCACACATGATGATCTTTAAACACACACTGCTTGTTTGTATCAACAAATAAGAAAATACATACGCTGATTCACTGTCCTTGTCATCTTTCTCTTTCTTGCTTGGCTTTTTCTTCTTCTCTTTTCTCTTGGTTTTATTTTTCAAAAACCCTGACAACATATTTGTTTTAAAAAAAAATATCAGTCACAAATTGTACACGAAACAATCTCAAAATAACAACACTAAATGCAAGACTAAGATAATCAATACAAATCGAGATTCTCCCGGGTGTTTTTTAAAGGTCACATGACGTCTGTGCCAGGCATGTTCAATGACTTGTAATGAATTATAATCTAATAACACTGGCATAAGCATATGTAGTGTCAGACACTAGAATAACTAGCGAATACAGTATCAAATATATATTGTACATGGTTCAAACAG